GATGCCTCACAAACCTTCTACTTACTATGGTGATATACAGAACAAAATATTCAGCTTAAGTGTAAGGATGGTGTTTTGCTTGCTTTTGATGCTGAAATTGCCACAGATTTAAGTATATTTCCATATTTCAAAACCTTCTATTTTCTTGTGAAAGTTATATGAAATTTGTAGGTTTCAGTGTTCAAATTTTAAACAAATTTATGCAAGGGTTTTTATGCTACCTACCTTCTAAAGTTATAGGATTTTATTTAAAAATAATGCTGGCTTATAAAAATATACAGTATAAAAGTGCCCACATATATGATCTGTGTAAATTTAAAACTTCAAAGAAATATATAACCAAATGTAACAATCAAGTGTCTTAGCAGAAGAAAAGTGAAGTATTTTCAGATTTCCTTACAGATATTCTTCTCTGTATAACATGTTGGTAGAATTTTTACAATAAATTATTTTTCCTTTCCTTCACAGAGCCCATATTGTGCTAATTCCAGAGTTCAGTCTTCCTTTGGAATATTACCTAATCCCATTCTTAATTATTGTGGGAATCTGTCTCATCCTTATTGTTATATTCATGGTAGGTATAATATTTTCTCATTATGTTATCTTTAGATTTTCTCTACACATATAAACACATTTTTATTGCTGAACTCATTGTTTTAATGTTTAGTGTATGTATTTGTGAAAGATATTGCTGGCATTAGGTAAACTGTACATTAGAATCTTTAGCATAGGTTTAAAAAGCTGTTTGGGTTATCACTCCAGTTGAGTTTTCCATGGATTCATCAGTTTAAGAAGAGCTTCCTTATGGATAGTATTTATATTCAACTTAATATGATATGAATCCCCTGCATGCCACATAGAAGGTTTCATGTGCAAATATTATAAACCCAACCTTTAATTAAAATATGCTTGTTGCTTCTGATGGTATATGAAGCTTATAGTTTTTGTCACAATTCTTTTTCATTGTTTATTTTAGGAATTGGGGTAGACTACAAGTTGAATATCATAGTAGGTTAGAGAAGCAAATTAAAGGTTAAAATCCTTTTTATGTTGCAGGTTAAGGGAACTATGATTCCAGATATTTTCAAATGTATCTGGAATACAAGAGTTTATTATGCAAGATTTAATGCATCAGACCTTTAAGAATTTTATTTTATTATTTTTTGTGATGATTAATGCATTTCTTTTACATAAGCAAGTGAACAAAAAGTAGCTAGTACTTAGAGTAATAGATATTTTTTTGTGCAGCAAATTTATTAAAATAGTACTAGTCATATGAAGGTGAACTGGAAAAATGTTTTCCTACAGTAGAAGTAGGTGGTTCTTACAGTTATCATATGTTTTTCTTAGCAGTCCATAACTGCTGAAAGTTTAAACATTATCGTATTATGTTAACTGAAGATTTGGATAAGAATTTACATGTAGGAGTCTTATTGTTGTATTTTATAAATAGTTTTATTATACTTCCTTATTTTTAGGTAACTCAAAACAAATTGAGTAGTCCTATACTTTCTTATTTTATTTTTCTCTTTTAAGATAACAAAATTTGTTCAAGACAGACACAGAGCAAGAAGGAATCGTCTGCAAAAGGATCAGCTTAAGAAGCTTCCAATACATAAGTTCAAGAAAGGTAAATGGAATGTTTTAGAAATTTTAAAATAATCTCTACCCTGGCCGATTTTAAACACTGTGTTAGAGCTGCAGAAAACAATTTGATAGTGTTTTGCACACTGACAAACTCTAATGCTTTCAATGCAATTAGTATAGGATTGGTATGCAAAGCTCCTGACTGAAGTCTAGAATAGACAAGAGCAGAACGCATGTTGGAAGGAATGGAAAATATGGTTGCCCCTTTCAGCTCCCTGACCCAGCTTCCTCAACTAAAAACTGCTCTGTAGAAGTCATATGGAAAGAAGCACTTTTGTGGGCACACTAGAATGTAGTTCCACGATGTAAGAAAGCAGGATGTAAATGTACTACAAGTAAAGCATAAAAATGTTTCAAGATAAAATATTGTAATTTCAAGAAAGGAGATCGTGATTTTTTTTCTTTATTCTATAGCTTATGACAACTTAATTCAATGAAGTCTGCCCTCTTATATAATATGAATCATGTAAATAGCTTACAAAAGCAGTTATTTGTCAACAGTCGTTCAATAACAGCTCTTAGAAGAAATAAACTAGTTCTTCTATATTTCAAGTACAGAATGATATCTTCTACTCAGGGCATTAAGGTTTTGTTGTTTGCTGTCAAAAGGAGAAAAGAAGCTTGCTGTATACGCTATAGCTGTTTTCCGCTACTGCTTTGACAACTGTTTGGGATTCTGATTTGCAGAATTTCCAGGTAGTATGGCAGCAGTTTCAAAGAATCTGCTTCCACATATCTGAAGGACATCTTATTGAGAAAGTCTGTACTGTATTAAGTTTTCAGAAATCAGTCATTAAAAAACTGAATAGGATCTTTCCTTTGACATGTGCTTAAACTGAATTTTCCCATGGTATATTGTACTTTTTCTTCATTGTGTACTGTTCAGGGGGGAGTGAGGATGTCAGTTTGTGAGGGTTTTTGCTTTATAACATGGCATAATTCAGTGGACCATTTATTGTAGCTTATAAACAGATCTATAACTACATAATACCACTATCAACAGAAAGAATATCTATGAATTCAAGGCAAAACTCTACCCCGCATGTTGTTTGCCCTTGATAAATACCTATCTTGCATTATTCATGATATTGTCAGTAGTACTACTGCAAAGCAGATATTTGATTGAAAAGTGTATTTGACATGATGTGCAAAATTAATTTCTTCTAATCTTAATGATATTTACTATGCAAAGCTGAGTGATCTTTGCTGAATAGTTTTGTTTCATTGAGCTTGAAATGGACTATAAAGGATTATGAAAGAGGCTAAGGTTTCTTTCCCCTTTCCTTTCCAACAAATACATAAATATAGTAGCAGGACTGAGCCTTACACACCCTAGGTCCAATTCCTGATGAGTCCTACCTTCCAGAATGATACCTTTACCTGTTCTCCTCCACATGACCCAGTATGTGTTCTCCTCCACATGACCCAGTATGTAAAAGAAAATGAATGGCATAATGCTACCTCTTCTGACTTTATAGGCATGTGGTTAGGGAAATCAGCTCTACTTTTATGTGAGGAGACTAATCTTACAAGCAATAAATAGAATCACAAGCATTAAAAATATAGACCACATTTCAGAATAACTGCCAATAAAAAAATGGAGTGGCAACCCTAAGACTCTTTACATTAACCATGAGATTATGTTGGTCTTTTGTCCAAGATGTACAATTACTGAACTTGCATAGAGAAAATGTATATCAAAGACAATAAATTAGATTAATATCATATGCAGCCACAGTATTCTTATGCAATATTACTAGCTCTCAATTATGAAGTCAGTTTGGTGTACAAATAGTCTTCAACTATCACAATAATTCGGACTGAAATTTCTGTCATTAATATAAAGTATGACTGCACTACTTAGCAACGGCAATTCCTGCAGTCCCAGTTGCTGTTAACCGAGCCCCATGGTCATTCGGTAAGGCAACTTCCTGCCAGCTTCCCATAACCAAGTCATTGGGAAGCCAGCAGGAAGTTGCAAGTTCCAGGCAGGCAGGCAGGCAGGCAGGCAAGTGTCTGTTGGGGGGAGGGACAGAGGAGGTGCAGGAGAGGATGGGGAAGGATGCAAGGGAGGCGCCATGAGGGTCAGGGAACATTCATAGTATTACGTGAATTAACAGCTTGGGAGGATGAGCAGGTCACGGAGACTTAACGCCAGCAACTTGCAACTTTCCCTGCCAGCTTCCCCACTGACTTTCTGGAGAAATTGGCAGGGAAGGATGAAAATGGTCTCGGAGTCAGTCCTCCTCTCATGGACACACTCCTCCGCCGGAGATGCTTTTCCCCGAAGAAGTGATCCTGCGATTACTTCCGAATTGGAGAGCAGTGGAGGGTATGGCTGGCTTATGGGGTGGAAACACCCTTTACCCCAGGATGCACAAGTAGGGGGAGGGGGGTGCCGCCGCTCGTTTTGCACTCCAGGAAGGCCCATGGAGTCATAGACGCCTGCGCCAGTCTCCACGGGGTGCACGTCGTGTTTACGAGCAGGGCGTCCACCCCTCTCCACTCTGCTCCGCTCGGCATCTCCACACATGGGAGAGGCGGCGAGGCCGCGCAACCGTCCATTCTCGGAAGACGTCTCACGGTCCCCAACCACCTCAAGCGTCTCTCGCTCTCCTCCATCCACTGCAAGCCGGACACCGCAACCAAGCCGTCCAGATGCATCAGAAACCCCACAGTCACCCCTCGCAGCCTCAAGCGCAGCACGCGTTGCGGAGCGGGTCCAAGCTCCCCGTCTACAGGGGGGTGCCATCGCTCCGTGATGGATTGTCCTTTGCCGACGGTGTGCCGGCGTCCATAAAGCACTAAGGGGGGTGGATGGAGGGGGGTCTAGGGGTGCATTGCCCATACTGACATAAGTCACCGACAGACCCACACTACCGGCTGAGTCCTCGTAGTTGCCGGGTAGGGCACCTTGGTCACAGAAGAACGTTCCATCATGCAATCCATCGTTGTTAGCAGGTTTGTCTCGACTAGGTGGATTAGGAGGTCGTAAGCCGTTCTCCGTTCGTACATTCGCCCAGTTGCACTGCCGGGGGTGTGCGGGTCGTAGCCGGGTGTCAATTCTCTCAAAGCATGGTAGAGCAAGATCAAGATCACGGAGGTCAGTGGGTCTACTCATGAGTGACTGCCCCCCGGGGTTACCACCATGGGGGCCTTCAAAAGAATGTGCCCTAGAGGGTTGATATGCTGAGGGAGTTCCACTCTCTTCCTTTTGCCAGACCAATTGGGGAGTATGCCCACCCTCATCTTCCTGCACCGCTATTATTTGTTTAAAACTGTTATAGCTGCTTATTACAGCAGACTGTGTTGTTACCTGCTTTCTGGAATGATCTTTGAAGCTAACGTCTCATTCCTTTTGTGGCTTTCTTGGAGCTTCTTATAGATTACCATATGTTATCAGAGATTCAAGAATAATCTTTCCTAGCCCTGGTACCATAGTTTTGGTTGTGTTCTTCTATTTGGAGAATTGTCTGTAGTCCTCAAAAGAACAAACTGTTTCTCTTCTACCAGAAAGGCAGAGGGGTTAATAACTAACTGTATATATGGTGCAGGGCATGCAGCTGCCCCTCTGAAATGAATGAATGTAGGTTGAAATTCCAGTGCATCTGGCTGTCAGTGAATTGTGGGAGGGAGCTGCCTGCCTATTCACTGCAAAGAATAACTATTACTTTGCTCTTATGTTAAACTATGTATCTTACATTGCATTGAACTCGTAGGATACACATGCATGTATGCTACTTTTGTTTATAGTGCCCTAATGAAATAAAAATTTATACCTGTTTAAAGTAACCATAAGTTGTTTGTTTCATTGCAACTTTAAGTTGAAAAGTGCCCATGGACTCCACATTATCAAACTTTTAAATAGCTGCTGCTTGTTGACTTCTTATGCTGCTACTTCAGGTCCTAATTTAGAGAGCCACTATGCTATTTTACTTTCAGATATAGAGGGCGGATAAAATGGGAGACTTTGGCACTGAGTGGAGAAGTCCCTTTATTGATGTTCTTTGGAGATAATTCTACCTTTCTGTCTTTACAAAGTGGACATAAATTAGAGTCAATGCCCATGGACACTAAGGGGAGAGCAGTTGGCATAGGGGACCACTCTAGAGTTCTATGCCAAGCTGCCTTCAAAAATCTGTAGTTAGCGCCATTCAAGGCTTTGGTTTATTTATTTTTATTTATAATTATAAAGTATAATTTATATATGTATATTCATTCCTCTGGCCTTTATATAAATTACCTTTAATAGAAGCAACCTCACAAATAGAAGTAATTTGCACGTTACACCTTCCTTTCTGCAATTGTAAATTTTGCAATGCAACAGTTAGGTAGTTTTCTCTATAAATGTTTACTATTTAGCTGAGGCAATTTGTTTCATATTATGAAGAAGGAAATCATCCCAGACAACTGAAGAATCATTTTCATCAAGTTGTAATTAAATGCAGCTACTCTATCTAATCAGCCTTTGTGTGGTTGCTGCNAAAACTCACAGTTCGCTTTAAGTTGCAGCGGTGGCGGCGGCTTCTAGCTTCGCTACAGCGAAGGCGTCCTGGATCGCGGAGAAGCCCGGGGCTCCGGAGGAGTTCTCACCTACATCGTCCACAAGGGACGACTCGGGAACTCAACTCCTACCCCGGGCAGCTCACCTATCCCCTTATGCCCAGGGGAAAGGTATCAAGCAGTTTGACAGCTGGTGCTGGCTGTCAAAACGGCTTTTACGCAGAAACAGGCGGGAGGCAGCTACAGCTGCGTCTGACGAGGTCGCCTGCCACCGGAAGTCCCATTAAGGTTTTGTTGTTTGCTGTCAAAAGGAGAAAAGAAGCTTGCTGTATACGCTATAGCTGTTTTCCGCTACTGCTTTGACAACTGTTTGGGATTCTGATTTGCAGAATTTCCAGGTAGTATGGCAGCAGTTTCAAAGAATCTGCTTCCACATATCTGAAGGACATCTTATTGAGAAAGTCTGTACTGTATTAAGTT